TTCACTTGATGGCTGAAGCATACTACTTCAAAAATGTCACAAAAATGAAACTTTGGTCTTTTAAATATTCCAATAGTCCTACTATTTTATACTACTATTACTGTATTATTCTGTGTAAACATAAAGAAATGGAAAAAAAAAACTGATACCAAGTTGTTCTTAGTTATTTCTTCCTAGTGAAAATCCAAAAGAGTGTATTTATGAAATTGTGTTGTGCAAAAATTTTCTATTTTTTCAAATTCCTAATGGCTGTCAGTTACTGAAAACAAATTATTACCTTTTTAAAGGTTATTTTTATTTTATGTGTAATAATTGTTTGCTAGTGTCTAACACACGTGTGCAGTGTCCTTAAAAGCCAGAAGAGGGTGTCAGATTCTTGGAACTGGAGTGACAGGTCGTCAACTGCCCTGTGGGTGCTGGGAACTAAACATGGGTCCTCAGCAAGAATAACCAGTGATCTGAATTGCTCAGTGATTTTTCCAGCCATTTAAATGATTTATTTATTATCATTATTTTGAATGTATGGGAGCCTGGAAATATTTCCCCTTGTGACTTGAAAATTTTTGTCCATACATAGCCTAAAAACAAGGGAACATAGTAATATGTCTAGCATTTGATAAAAGCCCATGCCAAAAAGCCATTTTATATATGTTAGGAGTAAAATAAAATCAATCTTCTTACATTTCTTTTAAATTAAAAGAAATTATTCCTGGGAGAGAATGACTCAGTGGGAGATGACTTCCCTAACACGTACAAGACCCTGGGTAAAATCCCAAACACCTCACAAATAATGCTAGCCTAATGTTCTCTAACACTGGTATTCTAGTTTTCTCTCTGTGTGTATGCATGTGTGTCCATGTGCATGCATGCCTGTGTGTGAAAGAGAGCAAGAGCACACTAAAGCATGTGTACATGCATACACTTGGGATGGAATACAGCTCCTCAGGTATTCTAGGTAAACAATGTACTGCTGAGCTGCATCCCTTGTCCTTTTATTGCTAAAATATTTAAGCCTGTTGTGTGTGTTTGTGTATGTGTATGTGTGTGTGTGTGTGTGTTTGTGTGTGTGAGCTGAACTAGTGTGCGTCTATGTATATAAGTAATTAGATGATTCTGTTTTTCTAATATGAATTTTCATTCCTTAAAGAATTGTAGCTACAGAGACACTAAAGAATGAGATGGGAGACATCAATGCTAAAACATTTTTGCTAATTGAAGAATATATGTTCATTGTAGAAAATTAAGAGGAAAGAATAAAAAGAGAATATCTAGAATCTATTGACTATAGGTGTCTAATATTAATATCTCAAGTAACATCTTAACTTTCAGCATTTAATACTCATGTGTTAGTTTCCAGTACTTAGAAAATATTTTTGATTTCTGATTTCATGCTGCTTATATCCAAAAAAGCAAAAATAACTGAACTCTTTTAATGGGGACACAGAATACATCAATGTATGTTGAAAACGTGGCCTGGGATTGTGAACAAATTAGAAAATGAAAACTTCCTTAGAAGTGGGTGTACTTAAGAATGTGTAGCACTGCATTTTTATGGTGATCCACTGTAAGATATTTGGAATGGGGGTACAAAGTGGGTAAAGGAAGTCTTGGCATTGTAAGTATGTCACCACAGAAACGAAGTTCAGGCTCTGTCAGGAAATACAGCTAGATATAGTGTAAAAGGTATGTTACATCAGACTACACAACCAATTTTTCTTTCATGAACTGAGTACATCTGAAGACTGAACCAACCATTTTATCAGCTCAAAGCAACAACTTAGAACCAAAGGAATATCTTGAAGAGGGAAAAATAAAAACCAATAACTAAAAGTTAAAACCAAAGCTTTCTTAAGTCTTCAAAGCCAGATCATTATAATCTCTGAGAATGAGAAGAGCAATGTTGTCATTAATTATAAGAGACACCACCAGAACTGAAGGCATAACAAAGAAACTGATCATTCCATGGATAAAAGGAGAACCAGCAGACTAAGAATTTATCAATCGTTTTCAAAAACACCATAATTTGTTCAAAAACTGTCATTCATTTAATCTATCCTTAGGTAACTGTGTATGTATTTATAACAGGTATAACAATATATGTGCATATAATAAATAATGATATAAGTGTGTGTATATTTAAAACCAACATGGGCAAACTTTACTAAGATAATAATACCAATGAAATCAGAAAACTCACTAATACCTTGGTCAATTGCTAATATACCCCAAATCTTGATGCACACCACTTTGAATCTGAATTCAATGTTTGGAGAAATGTGAATATTAATGTCATCTAGCATGCAGTTATATTGCTAGCTTGGCATACAGGTACGATATACATGTGTAGTCCCTCAATAAATGAAAAATGTTACATGATGAGCAATCATTTAGATTTAAAAATATATCTTATTGCAAAAAAAGTCCTTGGAAATACTAGCTCTGAAACTGAAAGAAACAATTTCAGAGGGATTTGAATAGTTATATAGCTGCATTTATTATATGGAAATCACACCTCAATAAAGTTGATTTAATAAAAGAGAAAGTTTGCAATACATAAGTTGTAAAATTCCCTGCAACTATAATATGCTATTTCCTTCAAAGTGCAATGATTATCCCAAGGTCATAAGCTGTACCAGATTATAAAATATGGATTTACCAAGTATTCAAACTACTGAGAAAACATTAAAATATGATTACATGTGTATATGGTTCTTATAAAAGATAAAAAACATCTATGCAAAATCTATATGAGAGTCTATAATTAGTTTGTCAATCAGGTTTGTAATGTCTCATTACAGAATAAAAGTGATAGAAATATCTTTAATAGTGAATCACTCATTTAAAAATATAGAAATATGTGTATATTTGTGTGGGGTGATGGGGATCAAAGCAAAGGCTTCCTAGATAACAGTGAAGTGTTCTACCATTAAGATACGTGTCCAGTCCAATATACTTGTTTTTAAAAGGAAATTTTGAAGGTACTAACCAGCTTATTAAACAGTTAATTCTAAGGAATAATTAATAAATGATTTGAGTCTTTAAGGATTATCTGTATTTTTAAACTTTAAAAGTTTAACATGTTGATTCTGTATTTTTTTTTCAAGTAAAGTAAAACTAAAGATCATGGTAACTAAAGTAAAGTTATAAGTGAGCTCTGTAAACTACACATGACATTCAAGTTTTCTACATGTGGTACAAAAAATTTGACATTATAAGCTGAACTCATCTATGGGCCTGAAAATATAGTGCTTAAGCATTAACTAATATCTTAATTTCATTTATTTTTAATTTAAACGTAACTGCACTGAAATGACATAATATAACTTGAAATGTTTTGGAAATCTCTGGCTAGTAGATTACAGCTGATTTTTTTTTTCTTATGCTTTCTACTTGTATTTTCCAGAATTTCTGGGAAAAATTTTTATCACTTTTACTTTTTTAAAACTTTTTTTTTTTTTTTGACTCAGGGCCTCACTAAGTAGTTCTGGCTGGCCTGGAACTCTCTATGTAGACAAGGCTGGCTCTGAATACACAAGAGATCAGCCTGCCTCTGAGTGCTAGGTTTAAAAGATATGTTCTACCAAGCCCAGCAAAATGCATTTTAAAGCACTGTTCTATTGTTTTATTTTGTAGCTAATGAATTCTCCTGTATTTTTTCCTCCTATATTTCTTAATGCTTTAGGTCTGCAACTCATCATCCAATGAGAACTATGGCAGACAATTCATAGGTGTGACTCTTCCCCACCAAATATAACCCTGCACTCATATATATAATAAATGTGTAAAAACGCATGTGAAAATGCTCTGATTTCCATGGGATTCTTCACATTAACTTCATTTTTGCACTTTGTGGGGCTTTTCTTTGTTTGATTGCTTGTTTCTTTACTAAGACAAGAGGTCTCACTATACTGCCTTGGCTATCCTCGAATGTGCAGTGTAGACTAGGTTGGCCTCCAATTCACAGATACCTGCTTGCTTCTGCCTTCCAAATGCTGGAATTAAGGGCATTCATCAACCACTGTACCCACTCTGCCACTATACATTAAGCATTATGCATTCTTAATTTATAATTTCAAATAAATGGGAACATAAAAGTAAAGAATGCATGATTTTTAAGTAAGACAAAATAATAGCTAAAAAGCTAGCCACATCAGAGAATTCAGTTCAGATTAACCATTATAAAGCTAAACACAAGGAATAAACAATCAAATACTAGAGAGTGGTATTATTTTTTTCATGCGGTGTGTCTGGTCAAAACGTTCCAAATTTTGGCTAAAGAGATGGCTCACCATTTAAGAGCACTCTTAGCTCCTTTAGAAGACCCTAAAAGAGCTCCCAGCACCCACGGAGTAGCTCACAAACATCTGAGTTTCAGAAGATCAAATGCCCGCTCTGCCTTGTTCAGGCAACATGGTATACATAGGTGTTCAGGAAAAAGCCCATATATACAAAATAAATATTAATAAAAAAAACCTTTTCAAATTCCAAATTATGAAAGTTTAAAACCTGCCAGGCTTTCAAAAGAACAACCAACTAAATAAAGTAGAGAAATGACTTAAATGATCATACTAATGACCTGATAGGAATTGTGAGCACTGGAAAAGGGGCAGGAAATCACTTTACACAAAGTTTGTGCTTAAGTAAGAGCTATCATTGGGTTTCACAAGGAAGAAATCGACAAAAGTGACTTGAAACAGTTTTCTTTATGGTAAAAAAAAAGTTTCATAAATTGCAAGTGCTTTTCTATCCTTCTAGGTAGCAAATAAAGCTATATAGACCTTTAGGTAGACTTAATTTTCAAGAATCAGTGAAACCGTAAAGTTATTTTCTAAGATGGGAATGACAGTGTCTACTTGATAACTATGAATACAAGAGTACAGCTGTTTAACCTTGAAGCAACCTCCTGATATAGTCACACAACAAATAGCTTGCATACTGCAAATTAAACTTAAAGTCACCTGGCACTTAACAACGTGAAGGAAACATAGCAGTGTCCTTACCTAAAGACTGGTAGAGTTCTGTCATTTTGGGGTGGTCCCAACAAGTTGTTTGAGTCTCGTGGCTAAAACACAAAATATAATGACACACGTTAGAATCTACAATGATCAATAGCAAAAGAACGACAAACGGCTTTACTTCATATTGCTACTTTCAAGGACTTCCGTAGAGTGGTTCAAACTATCTTGCAAACAAAAAAGGCTCCTTTGTTTTCAAAGGTAAAAGCAACACTAACATGATTAGTTCTAGAATTCGTTTATTTTTCACACCCATACTACTGTTTTTTACAAAATTGACATTGATCTTGTTATATCTGCAGTAATCAAAGATCAAGATTGCCTCAGTTCTCCACTGTTAAACATGAGGAAAAAAATTGTCATTCAGCTCTGTCAGTTCCACAATTACAAATCAACTAATTTCTTATTTGTTTCCTTGGCCCTTGTTCCATTAGTCTTTTTTTTCTCTCTCTCCAATGTCAGACCTCATGTTGGTGACACCTGTGTTCCATTTCATCTTAAGGCATATCCACAACCCAACTAATACATCACATCATTCCTCCTTCTTCCCATTACTTTTCGAATGTCTTTTAAACTTGCTACTCTGTACACCACCCCACATCTTCCTATATTTACTTAAACGTGAATGAAACATTCACACTTCTCCATTTCTTAAAGTGTGGTTTCCTACACAAAAGGAACAAAACACCTTTGTTCCTCATTCAATTACATGAACAATCCCAAGAGAGATAACGACATATACTTTTCCTTTGGCCCATCTACATAAATCACCTTAGCATCATATTTCCTGTTTTCAGAGATTACATGGTGAGCTTTTGTAGAATAAAATGCAGCTTGGAACAATATTTTAGCATTCATATGCTGAACTGATTTATAATCTTTTAATGGGAAATGCAAGGAACAGAGTTGGGATAAAGAGCTTAAATTTGGGCATTTCAAGTGGTACAGAGGACCCCACACAAAAAGAAGAATTTGTGGAAACCATAATATCAAATGCACTCAACATAGGTTTTGAATTTTAGGGCTTTACAGCGCAGAGGTAGTGTAATTTGATGCAGGTGGACTCACCTGGTAAAGAGACAAAGGATTCACTGACATTGAGAATGGATGCATCTGAATACACAGTCATTTTGCTATCATGCGGCCCCCAAATTTCCATCCATTACAATATAGATGTAATCTTAAGAATGATCCTTCTCAAAGGGCAAAAACTATATTCACCATGCATTAGGTTAAAAAGAAGTCAAAAGGAGAAACATTTCAAGTAGTTGATTAATATAATCATAAATATCATAAAGAATTATGAAAACTGGCTAAACAGCACAACTTCAAAGACCATCCTCCCTGTGAGATTTACAGTTCAGTAATTGAGCTGCGCAGGCCACTGGAATCAGTTTGCAAGAAAAATGTTCACTTGTGAATGGCTGTCTCACTTCCTTCAAAATTTGTTCATTCCTGTTTTACTTTTCTGCAGAGAAAATTCACATTTGAGGAGTGTCAATCAGGGTCATCAGCTGAAGGAATGTAACAGAGTGACATGAAAATCATAGGAAGTAAGAAGAAGAGAGGCAGCAGATACTTTAGAAAGGTTTGGGAAAGCCCATGACCAAGCTGATTTATGATGTAGAGAGGGGGTAGCTGGTACTGGTGCTTTATATGCACAGCACAAGGAAGCTGCAACTTGCAGCTTCATGGAAAAAGTGTTCCTTGTTCTCGAGTGATTTGTACCTCAAAAAGTGACTGTGCCTAACAGTTCCATAGACAAGGGCTCCATCCTGAATTCCAGCTTCCTCCCTTTCTAAAGCCCATCAACATGTGGGCACCAGTGGGAGAAAAGGGAAAAGATGAACATGTCCACACATATGGCCCTTAATAGACACACATTGCAATAACAACGCCCCATGTCCAGGACACTGTGTCAACATCTTTAATGGATCTGCAGGAAACTGTTTGGCTAAGCTCATAAACCTGGTCAGACAGCAGGGACACACAACCACTCTGAAAAGCATCCATCTAAAAGATTTCAGATAAAAGAAACAGGGCAAAGAAATAAGCTTCTAGTGAACGGAATTCAAAAAGGAAAGAGAAATGTGCATACAATTTCAAGCAAAATTCCAGAAAGAGAACCAACAAGAGCTTGATGTAGATCCCCATACCCCATGTCCAAGAGACAAACAAAGCAAAACAGAGAGCACGCTCCTGTTTATCAATGTACCTACATTTCTAGCCTTATAATGACAGTTACTGAGTGGATTAAAAATTATTAAAAAGGCATTAGAATGTATATTTTATTCCATAGGTCCTCAACAAAATTTCCACTGTGAGATTACAGAAGAAACTGCCAGCGCCCATTCCTTCCTTTTGCCTTATACATTTGATAGGTGATATTCTCCCAATTAACTTAGAATTTTAAAGCATTTGAATAAAATAGGTAAAAGAACTACTCAAATAATTCCTGAATCAACCTTCATCTTCCTTCCCTTCAACACACAAACCTTTCCTTTTCAAGCAATACAAAGTAACTAGAAAAGCAGACTTGATTTCACCTTTCCAGTCTTAGCTTTGCTTCAACTGCAAAGCAGCACTAAGGATGGGGAAAGACCAGAAGAGTAAAGGGTGTGACTGATTGCCCAAAACAGAAAGAGAATTCTTTCATCATTTAATGCTAATATACTTGAATTCAAGATGGGTAATTCACATTTACCTTGAATATATACCGATACAGAGAAAAATATGCTGTGTTCTTTACCCATCAGGAACACACTCTCCATATATATAAATATATATAATGCATATGATTATGTATATAATATATATATATATTATATATATAATTTCTCAAAAAAGACGATGTTCTGAAACCTGTTCAAAAGTTATTGGGTACATCTTTGTTCAGCCTTGCTGAGAACAATGATGTTTAATGTAGACCCCAAGTCCTTGGGTACATTAACACTGACACTGACTACAATCCTGAAAATCTTCCTCAAATTTTTAAAGCATGCTATTGATTCTGGCCCTGCAGATTCCAAAGGCTGTCATCAGATACACCTATCTGAGTAATTTTCAAGCTAAGCTGCCCCCATATGTGTACTCTTCCTTTTATTTGTTACCACGCTATAAATTAAATACTAAAGCACTGGCTATGACAAAAGACCCTAACAACACCTACTTGTCAATAAGCAGAAATTAAAGCATTACTCTACTAAGCACAGGATTGACCTAATTTCCTACCACAGAATTTAAATTTCCATTCACCTTTTTTTTTTTTTTTAAGTAGTGGCAAGGTTATTTATTATAAGCACCTCAGAGCTGTTCCTGATGTCACTGCTAGAATAATCAGACTTATTGGAAATAATGCTTTTGTAGTTTCTTAAAAGCAAACATTAGACACATAAAAGTAACAAATATCTAAGGCACTCACTGAGGAAATGGCAGTTGCCTAATTAAAGTAAGATTTCTTCTGTAACCATTATCATTTGGTACTGAAAATATTATATATCCTTTCCACTCTTTCTTAGGGTTGAACTAATCACAGTATGCACAAATATAAAAAAGTAGCCTTCTCTTGTGTTTTGTATAAGATTAGGGTTTGGTTTCATATATGATCAGGAGGGAGCACAAACACTCACACACACACACACACACACTCTCTCTCTCTCTCTCTCTCTCTCACACACACACATACACAGTTTTCCCTTTAATCTGGTGATCAGACTCTAGAGGAACCTTGGCATTTGCATGCTGAATTGTTGAACTTGGCTAATACTGCTGGAATACTGGTAAGGTAAGGATGGGAAATATATATTTAGAAGTTCCTGCTACTGTGGAGAATGGACTTCAGTGGTTATGTGTCAATCAATCTAAGAATCAGAAATCCTATTCCAGTTCTACTTCTTGTTCTCAGAGATATTTAACATTTCATTCTGTTTGGCTCAACCCAGGGCAAAGAACAGCCGTGGTAGCTGTTCCAGCTGTTACTTGCCCTCCTAGTTCTATTTGTTTTTCAAGGTTTACCTCCCATCCACCCTCAACTTTGGCCAAGGCAATTTCACTTCAGGGTCCTGTCCAATTCAAGATCAAACAATGACTACTGAAACCAATTCCACAGTGCTCAAGGTTCAGAAAGCTTCCACATAACCCTGTTGTTTTATTTGCTCCTCTTGCTTCTTTAAGAGCAAGGGTATCCTCCCCGGTAGGTTTGGAACAGGGAAATAAAAATATATAGGCAAAAAAAAAGATGATGGGGTGACAAGGACAGACATGGGGAGTAAGCCCAGGGACCAGGAAGAACATTTGTTAAAGAATGTAGATTGCTCTTTAAGACTTTAGTTTGTTACTTAAACCAAAAGATGGATTTTTCCTTGGTACTGAAGCATTTTATAATTAATACTATACCTTCCTTAGACAATTAAACCCCTTCAATTTAAGTTTAAACTTAACTTCATATTTAACTGAGATAAGCAATGTGCCTTGCCATTTTCCATTGTGATCAGATTAAGAATGACAAACTTTGCTTGATGATAAGCAGATAACCTAGAGAAGCAAAGAAGATACCCTGAAATGACTCCATACTGAACCTTAAAAAGAAGCCCAAGAAATAAACCAGTAATGATAGTAATAATAATAATACTACTGCATAGGAAACCTCCAGCCCTCAAGCCTTTCTTTCTTCTCAGTCAATTCCTTGACTGTCTAAGCTTTAATTGTTCTTGTTTTCTTTATTTCTCCAAGTCCTGAAACATAGAATAAGCACAGAAGAAAACACAGCGAGGGAAATATCATTTGGAATCCTCGGAAGAAATCAGGCATAAAGTTGACCTTTTGGCACTTAGCAGTGCAATGAAGGTAGAACCGCTTGCTCCCCTTCCTCTTGCCAGGTCCAATGACGATTTTGGGATTGATTTCACGCATGAGTTTTGCTTAAAGAAGAGCCTGCGTGGTTCACGTCCACAGTGGCAGTCCCGGAAAGGAGCAAAAAGCTCCCTGGGCCCGATCACCGCAAGAAGAACGAGCTGTCCCTCTCTGGGCAAAACGAGAAATCCGCTTT